CTGTTGGGAGTGAAACCGGAGCCCACCATTCTACTCCAGCACCCCGATCAGCGCGCGCGAAAAGGACGGGCGGGGGTACTGGCAGCCAGCCCTGGCGCTGCTCTGCGAGATGATGGGGGCGAAGGATCGTGCACAGCGACATGCTGGTTGTGAAGCTGGGGCCCACCGCTATCTCCTACGGTGCCCCGATCAGTGCGTGCAAGAAAAATTGGCACGGGCAATGGCAGCTGGCCCTAGCGCCGCTCCGAGAAATGGTTGGAATGAAGCTAGAAGCCACCATCGCTTGCTCCATCACCCCGATCAGCGCGCTCGAAAGGACACGCAGAAGCAGTGGCTGCCAGCCCTGACGGTGTTTTGCGAGATGCTGGGTGTGAAGCTGGAGCCCGCCGTCATCTGCTACAACACCTCGATCAGCGCGTGCGAGAAGGGGCGCTGGCAGCCGGAACTACCAGTGGTGGCACGGTCAAGGAGGGCATGGAGGTGCAGGGATACGGCGACGACGAGGTGGAGAAGGCCGTGGAAGCGGGCAGTGGACGGGTCGACGAGGAGGTGGAGAAGGGCAGGGAGTTGGAGATGATGGTCGGGGACGGTGACGTCACGAGGGACATGGAGGAGGTCACCGCGGAGTCCGGGGAGGAGGTGGAGGACGTCAGGGCCGCTTTCGACGGCACGTGCGATGAGGATGGCGAGGAGGGCGACAAGCAGGTGGCCATGGAAGAGGGGGGGGACGTCGAGATGGAGGAGGCCGTCAGCACGGTCTCGGAGGTGTGCGTCGACGGGGGGTCGAGGAGGCTGTCCTGGATGTTGTCGCCGAGCGAACTCCATGGGGTCCGAGCTCCACCGGAATGACACCGATCGTGACGCAGGACGCCTCTTGCAAGCCCAATCTTGTCGACGCTACACCACCAATCGTGTCGATCTTGTGTGAACCATGCCTACTAATCTCTGGATGGCGCGGAGTGCAGGGGAACCCTTGGGGAGCCAGGGCGGCAGACCCTAGACCCGCCGACGCCCCCTTTTCCGCTCGAGTGGAGTCCCTGCCCAACCACAAACGGATGAGGACGAGACGGGTGGCTCTCGAAGATCTGGACGGGACGGCGGGAAAGAATACCTCGATCCACGCTGCTCCAACCAATCTCTGCCTGAAGACAGCGCCCCGGACCCAGAGGGACAGGACGGGCTCTCCCTGCGCGCCGCCTCGTTGCTATAACGGCCGCTTCGCGCCGCGTGCGGCCTGCGCCGCCCGACGCGACAGACCTGGGCGCCCTGTCGAGCACGACGGCAGCGGGCGGACGCAAGAGGGCGGAGAGGGGCACCTTCCTGGGCTGCGCCGGCCAGTGAGACCATGGAGCTGGGGTCGAGGAAGCAGACGAACTGGGCATCCGCGCGCGTAGCTCGGAGAGCGTCGCCGCGGGCGGCTCCGATGCGCGAGCAGAGGTCCAGAGTCCTCCCGCGCCGGATGTTTTGGCGGCTGCGTCGCGAACTCCAGGCTGGCAGCCGTCGCTGCGGGCGGCAAAGGCAGCAGCGCACGACAGACGCGTGCTTCCCACCAGTCCCCCGCCGATCATGACCCACGCGCCCGCTGCGGAGGCGCCGTCTGGGGACAGACTTCGCCTCGCCCGGCAAGCGCAGGGCGACCTCTAGCTGAAGGAGGCGCGGGCTGATTCCCCGCGGACTCGAGAAGATTGCGATCACTTCACCTGGGGCCGAGCTCGCCCAGAAATGGCCCCTTGACAGGTCGTGATCGACTTCCTGCGTTCCCTACCAACGCGCGGGCGGCGGCGGGCTGGCACTCGCGCCCCGCCAGCCTCGGCGGGCCCGTCTGGCCAGCCCGCAGCAGCCGAGGGCCCTGACTCGGCCGGACACCTGGCTGGTCTGGCGGGCGCCTCCAAGGAGCAGCTTGTGGCCCGTGCCAAGCTGCTGGGGGGCCACGTCAGGGTAGCTTGGAGAGCTTATTGCGCGCAGTTCGGCGGCGTCGCGCTGGGCCCACGGCGGCGCGGCGTGAGCTTCCTGCGCGGCTTGCTCGCAGCGCGCGTAGGGCATCGCGGTGCAGTCTCCTGAGTCGGGCGGTCGCACGCCGATCAGTCGTCCTTGTCGCACGCCGGCGCCCCTGCTCCCGTCACTCCCAGCATTGGGCCCCGTGGCGTCTTGTTTGCTGTCGGAGGTGGCGCGGCGGTCCTGCCGCCCTCCAGCGGCGCCCCCCCCCGTGATGGCTCGGCGGTCCCTCCCTCCTCCTCGTGGGTCGCGGGGTTCGCTCGGTCGTCGCCGTCGTCCTTCGTGGGCTCGGCCGCGTCGCCGGGTTCCCCGCCGTCGTCTTTCCGGGGTCCCATTATGCTTCTGCGTTGCTTGCTCTTCCCCTCCTCTCCTCCTCCTCCTCCTGGGTTGTCCCCCCCGCGGGGTATGGGCCTCGTCCGCAGCTCGCCAAGCGGTCTCTGCCGGCGCGGTGCGATCTTCTTTGTGCCCTCTCCTCCTCTTCTTTTTTCTTTCTCATATTCGGGGCGTCGTTGCCCGATTCCTTGGGGTTTGAAGCGTCGGTCCGCACAGTGCACCTCGTCATTACTTGTGCTGCTCGGTCGGTGCCAGTCGGTGCCTTACCGCAGCCTGTTTTCGGCCAGATGGGCGCGTCACTGTTACTGGCCATTCATGGCGGCGCGGCGTCCCACCAGGATTCGCAGCGTGGCTTCATTAGAACGGTCTCGGCCCCGCCTGTGAGTGTTTCCACGCGTGCTGCGTTGTGCCACCGCCAATCATTGTTGTTTTAGCGTCGGGTCCGCTGTTCTGGTGCTGTTGCCACCTGCAGGTCTAGCACCCCGCCCGTGCTATTGCTCTTGCGTCGCCGGTTCGTAGGGTAGCGCGTGGCCCATCGTTTCGCCGGGCCATAGCGTCCAACGTTGCCCCACCAGTCGGCTTGTCTGGCAGCTTTGCAGGTTGCAGTGTGAACCGACGTATCAGGTTGTCTGGAGTCTACCTATCGCGCTTCTCGGGTCGTGCCCGCTGCACTGCTTGAGGTCTTTGTATGTCGGTGCTTATTGGCACTACTTTGCGCCAGACTGCTCGCGCTTCAGTCCACTCTGAGTTGTGTTCGTTTTACGTACCCTCGGATTCTTATACTGCTGCACGCTTTTGTGGTTGCGGTCCCATCATTACACCTCTCGGTTAAGTCCGTCTGTGGATCTTGACTCTTCGCGTCTCCCCACCAGCTACGATTCGTTCTGCCGATGGGGGTACCTGGGGTGCAGTGGCCTGATTGCACCTCGAGGTCTGCTGCTTACGCGGTGTGGCTCCCAGTATAGTGGCTGACGACGGTTGTGTTATTCTCCCGCATTGGTATACGCTTTGATGGAGACGTGGCGTGTCTCTTCGAGGAGGTGGAGGTCGCTGGTATGCTCGAGTTCGTGATCTTCGGCTTCTGAGCTGGTTTGAGTTTAGTCGCATGGCCATTTTCGCTGTCCGTTCGCCGCCCGCGCTCGGCCTCGGTCTTGCCCGGCCTGCTGCCGCCTCAAGTCTTGCCCTTTTTTTCCGCGCTCGCCTGCTGTAGTGTGGGTCTCTGTCCTGCTCGCTGTGGGCTTGGTTTTCGTGCGACTCCACGACGCCGCGCGGCTGTCACCTTGCGGTTGCGCAAAAAAAAGTCTCCTCACCAGCCCAGCCAAAACCGATGCCTAGGCGAGCTGAAACGATCATGCGGGACGCTGTCTTGACCCATCTTGAGCTATCTTGAGCCATCTTGGATGCCATCTTGGGGTCTTCAAAGGCCCTCCTGGAAACAGTTCGCCAGGCGAGTGGGGGCGTTGTTGTGAGAGGTTCTCGGAGGTTTCTTAAGCCATCTTGGGGTTGTCTTGGGGTCCTCTGTGGGCCTTCTTTGGGCCCTCTTGGAATCCTTTTTGGGCCATTTGGGTGTTTTTTTTTTTTTGGAGGGGGGGGGGGGGCAGGTCTCGGAGGTCTCTCGGGGCCGCCTTGGCCCCCGTAGCTCAAATGGAGGGGGGTCCTCAATTTGGGCCCCTCCTCCTTGCGAGGCCTAAGCACGTGGTGTTCCCAAGAGGGCGTTCTTGGGGCGCTGTTGGGCGCTGTTGGGGCCGTTTTGAGATCCTATTGGACTTTTCTTGGGGGTCTCTTGGGCCGTCTTCGAACCATCTTGGGGCTAGGGCCTCCGAGGCCAATCGGAAGCGAAACGGCGAGAAGGCAAACAACAATGATTTTCCTCAGGTGTTGGAGCCATTTTGGCCTCTTGGGGGAAGTCCTTAGGGGGTTCGGAGGGCACTTGGAACCTTTTTCGGAACCGTCTTGGGGCGTCTTGAAGTGATGTCGGAGGCTATATGGAGCCATGCTGAAGCATCTTGGAGGCCATCTTGGGCCCTTTGGGGGCCCCCTTGGCGCCATCTTGGGCAATCTTCGGGACACTAGCGCCTCGTGGTCCCCCCTCCCAGGCCCAGAGGAGGGGGACGGGGGCAGGGGAAGGAGGGGTGTTGACAGAGAAAAGACATAATCCACTTACGCCCAGAGGGCTGGTGGGGTTACCACCTCCATCAGCTGCCCGCGCCTGGGGTCCCTCTGCGCCGCCGATTTTAAAAGTGTGTATGTGCGCGCGTGTGTGCGCACGCTTGCGCGTATGATGCTGCGATGAGATTATCGCCACCGGTGTGCGTGTGTGAGAAAGAGAGAGACAGTGTGTGTGTATGTATGTGTGTGTGTGTGTGTGTTTGTGTGTGCGCGGGTTTGTGTGTGTGTGTGTGTGTGTGTGTGTGTGTGGCAAGGACAGCTGTTCGCATTTCGCGCCCACGTCGGCCGTGGGGAAATGGTTTTTCTTGTGCGTGTCGACGCCTGAACTTCCCAGCGGCCATTCCAGACTGGGGTCGCGAGGGAAGGAGCCCGAGGGAGGGGAGGGGAAGGGGATGGAGGGTACCACGGGACCACCGCCACCCACCGCGACCGCGCCCTTCCTTGGCTACGCCCTCCGCCGTTGCCCCTTGGGCCCCCGCTCGCTGCTGGCCTGCTGCTGGAAGGTGCTCAGCTACTGCGTCGACGAGGGGAAGAAAAGCTCGGAGCCCTACGTCGGCACACTCATGTGCCATTATCCAGGCGTCGCTGTCCTGGACTCAGGTGCCCCAGAAGCGCGGCACGTCGGCGATCTGACAACGGATGTCCTGCTTTCGTGGGCCTCCACTGCTGTCGTCCTCGGCCGTCGCCCCACACATTTGCGCATATCACCGTCAAGTGCGCCTGGGCGTCGGGGCAGTGCGCGCGGCTTTTGATGCGCGGTCGCAGGACGAGAAGGATAAGCCCGGGGAGCATGAATTTGCAGGGAGGCGGGATCTCGGGACATCCCAGGACACATGGGCGGCTGCAGCGCCAGACGGATGGCTTGCATAATGATGTGTCTGCTGGCCGATTGTTCTCCGCGGCGGAATGGCGATCGCGGAGGCTGGGGGATGAGATCGAAGCGAGACGGAGACCCCCCTACCGAGAAATCGTTTTCGGTCTCGTGTTCGTGTCGTGCGCGCGAGCGAGGCGAAACTGCATGCACAGACGAGAGGAGGAGGAGGAGGAGGAGGAGGAGGAGGAGGAGGAGGAGGAGGAGGAGGAGGAGGAGGAGGAGGAGGAGGAGGGATGGAGGGAGGAGGAGGAGGGAGGGAGGGAGGAGGGAGGAGGGAGGAGGGAGGAGGGAGGAGGAGGGAGGAGGGAGGAGGAGGAGGAGGAGGAGGAGGAGGAGGAGGAGGAGGGCTACTGGGAAGCCGTAGCAAAAGTCTCTCCTCCCCTCCCTCTGGCGGCCGGCTGCCCGCGCTCGTCCCGTCGGCTGTCCCGTCGGTTGTCCCGTCGGCTGTCCCGACGGCTGTCCCGATGGCTGTCCCGTGGTTGCCCCGGCGGTTGTCCCGACGGTTGTCCCCACGGTTATCCCGCTGGCTCTCCCAATGGTTGTCCCGACGGTCGTCCCGCTGGCTGTCCCGATGGTCGTTCCGATGGGTTCCGGCCCCAAAAAAGCACTCGGCGCCTTCGGGGCTTGGAGGGTTTTGGTACAATAGGCATGCGCTATTTGTCCCGATGGTTGCCCCGATGGGCAGAGAATGAGATCAGCAACCCTGCAGTGAGGTCGATGGATCGATTGTGAGAGTATTCCAGAGACCGCATGTGAATGTGATAGCGAGGTCGATACATAGGTAGTCTGACCGGTACATATATATTGAATATATAGATTTCGATTTATTCACATATGTCTATTTCGTGTGGTCGGTGTGGAAATCAATCGCCATATTGATACCGAACTGTTGGGACGATGTGTAAATTCACCATGTGACCATTGTGATCTGTACGCGCAGCAGTACACCATGATTCGACAACATGAGCACAAATCTGGAATTGCAACAGTGCTCGCTCGCTATGACGTCATGTAAACACGACGTGTTGGCACAGTTGGCTGGGCATACTTGTTGAACGAGGTGTTCGCAGTTTTGCTCCATGAGACCTCTCATGTGCATCTTGCATTTGGCATTCTGGACGCACTGGTCCTTTCTATTTCGGTGGCTGTGATGTGCAATCCTGCTGCACGAGCTTCTGTTCCGCAACCGTTGTGGCTCAAGCTGCTGCGTTGGCGCGCTGGCAACTGCAGTTTCCCAAGGCACAAGTTTAGTGAGCTGGGATGGATCAGGTCGCTGCGATTGCCCAGCACGAGGCCCTCGAACCCACCAGCTTCGAAACAACGTGGGGGAAGTGCTGACCGTGCCACGGCGCGCTACCGACGACATGGACCTTGACGCACGGTCGGCACTCGCTGGGCTGCCCGAGGCGGCGCCTTCGGGCCGCGCCGACTTCGGGCCGCGCCGACGTTCTGTCGGCGATCTCCCGCGCCCGTGCGGGGAGATCTGTTGATCTCGTGATATATTTATGCATGTGGTACATATGTGTATGTATATATGTACATATATGTATACAATGTATACACACAAACGTACATACATATTCCTCTTCCGATATTGTTATAAGCCCAGGCGGGGGGGACCCCCCCCAAAAAAAATAGTTTGACGAAGGACCCAACCATATGCAGGTGTGAGTACCGCAATTGTGATTCACTTTTTCGGTGGTGATCTCTATGAAGCAACGAACCGTGCTAGGGGCGTGCCGAAATGAATGGCGTGGTACACAACGCGAGCGAAAACGAACAGCACAATGCGGACTGCGCCACGGGGACCTTCGGTGGGGCTCCTATGGGGCCACGAAGCGGTGTACTGGGTGAGGGAGGCGCATGCGGACTGCGCCACGGGGACTTTCGGTGGAGTTCCCTATGGGGCCACGAAACGTGTGAGGGGTGCGCCGAAATGAATGGCGGGGACGCATGCGGACTGTGCCACTGGGACCTTCGGCGGAGCTCCTATGGGGCCACGAAGCGTGTGAGGGGTGTGCCGAAATGAATTGAGGGGACGCGTGCGAACTGCGCCACAGGGACCTTCGGCGGAGCTCCTATGGGGCCACGACACGTGTGAGGGGGGTGCCGAAATCATTGGCGGGGAGCTCCTCTGGGGCCACGCAACGTGTGAGGGGTGTGCCGAAACTTGTGGCGTGGACGCATGCGAAACGTGCCATTGGGACCTTCGGCGGATCTTCTATGGGGCCACGAAACGTGTGAGGGGTGTGTCGAAATGAATGGCGGGGACGCATGCGAACTGTGCCACTGGGACCTTCGGCGGAGCTCCTATGGGGCCACGAAACGTGTGAGTGGTGTGCCGAAATGAGTGGCGGGGGCGCGTGCGAACTGCGCCACTGGGACCTTCGGCGGTGCTCCTATGGGGCCGCTCAGCGTGTGAGGGGGTGCCGAAATGAATGGCGTGGACGCATTCGGACTGTGCCACTGGGACCTTCGGCGGAGCTCCTGTGGGGCCACGGAACGTGTGAGGTGTGTGCCGAAATGAGTGGCGGGGACGCATGCGAACTGTGCCACTGGGACCTTCGGCGGAGCTCGCATGGCACTGAGACATTCGGCGGAGCTCCTATGGGGCCACGAAACGTGTGAGGGGTGTGCCGAAATGAGTGGCATTTTCGCCAACCCTTCACAACGCTTCGCGGCCCCATTGGGAGCTCCACCGAAGCCCCCACAGGGACCGCCCCAATGCGCCCCACGCGCCTAATTTGGTATTTTCACCCACCCAGTGCAGCGCCTCGTGGCCGCATAGGGAGCTTCACCGACGGCCCCAGTGCTACCGCCCGCATGCGTTCCCCCCCCCGCCCTCCGTGGCCCCACAGGGAGCTCTACCGAAGAAAATATTCACAATTGCGGTAGCCACAACTCCATATGGTTGGGTCCTTCGCCAGGATAGTTTCAAAGTGGGTTCCTATTCGGAGATCTCACACATCCCGTGACATCCGGCCGGCACCGCCCCTCCCGGCTTCCCGGGGGGGCCCCAAAACGCCCGAGGAAAGCCCAAGACCACCTCAACACACTCCCGCGCAGCCCGGGACACACTTCCGACGGCTCTCCAAGCCTCCAGGAGGCCTCCAGAACCCCCAGGGGGTCCGGAATATCCCACACCCCTGAGGGGCCCGGCTAACAAAACCCGCGAGGCACAAACAAAAAACAGCGCCGAACAGCGCCGAGGAATTGGAACAGAAATTGGAATCCCACAAATCCTTTTTCCCAACTATCCTGTGGTGTTGGGTTTTCGTTCTCAAGAGACGTCGCCCCGCGTTCCTCCTCCTCTCCTCCTCCTCCTTCTCCTCCCCCCCTGCTCCTCCTTCTATGTTGTCACCCACCCAGCGCAGCGCTTCGTGGCCCCATAGGGAGCTCCACCGAAGCCCGTGGTGGGACCGCCCGCATGCGTCCCCCGCGCCCAACTTGGCATTGTCACCCACCCAGTACAGCGCTTCGTGGCCCCATAGTGAGCTCCACCGAAGCCCCCGGTGGGACCGCCCGCGTGCGTCCCCCGCGCACAATTTGGCATTTCCACCCGCCCAGTACTGCGCTTCGTGACCCCATAGGGAGCTCCACCGAAGCCCCCAGTGGGACCGTCCACATGCGTCCCCCGCACCCACTTTGGCATTTCCACCCACCCAGTACTGCGCTTCGTGGCCCCATAGGGAGCTCCACCGAAGCCCCCAGTGGGACCGCCCGCATGCGTCCCCCACACACCCAACTTGGCACTGTCACCCACCCAGTACAGCGCTTCGTGGCCCCATAGGGAGCCCCACCGAAGCCCCCAGTGGGACTGCCCGCATGCGTTCCCATGCCCACTTTAGCATTGTCACCCACCCAGTACTGCGCTTCGTGACCCCATAGGGAGCTCCACCGAAGCCCCAAATGTGACCGCCCGCGTGCGTCCCCCACGCCCAATTTGGCATTGTCACCACCCAGTACAGCGCTTCGTGACCCCATAGGGAGCTCCACCGAAACCCCCGGTGGTACCGCCCACATGCACCCCCACGCCCAATTTGGCACTGTCACCCACCCAGTACAGCGTTTCGTAGTCCAATAGGGAGCCCCACCGAAGACCCCAGTGGGACGGCCCGCATGCGCCCCCCACGCCCAACTTGGCACTGTCACCCACCCAATACAACGTTTCGTGACCCCATAGGGAGCTCCACCGAAGCCCGTGGTGGGACCGCCCGCATGCGTCCCCCGCGCCCAACTTGGCATTGTCACCCACCCAGTACAGCGCTTAAGCGGCCCCATAGGGAACTCCACCGAAGCCCCAAGTGGAACCGCCCGCATGCGCCCCCCACGCGTAATTTTGCATTTTCACCCACCCAGTACAGCGCTTCGTGGCCCCATAGGGAGCTCCACAGAAGCCCCCAGTGGGACCGCCCACATGCGCCCCCCACGTTCAATTTGGCATTTTCACCCACCCAGTACAGCGCTTCGTGGCCCCATAGGGAGCCCCACCGAAGCCCCCAGTGGGACCGCCCGCATGCGTCCCCCACACCCAATTTGGCACTTTCACCCGCCCGGCACAGCGCTTCGTGGCCCCATAGGGAGCTCCACCGAAGCCCCCAGTGGGACCGCCCGCATGCGTCCCACACACCTACTTTGGCATTTTCACCGACCCAGTACAGCGCTTCGTGGCCTCATAGAGAGCAGAGCCCCACCGAAGCCCCCAGTGGGGCCGCCCGCATGCGTCCCCCGCACCCAATTTGGCATTATCACAAACCCTTTACAACGCTTCGCTGCCCCATGGGGAGCTCCACCGAAGCCCCCAATGGGACCGCCCGCGTGCGTCCCACGCGCCTAATTTGGTAGTTCCACCCACCCAGTGCAGCGCTTCGTGGCCTCATAGGGAGCTTCACCGACGGCCCCAGTGCTACCGCCCGCATGCGTTCCCCCCCCGCCCAGCGCAGCGCTTCGTGGCCCCATAGGGAGCTTCACCGAAGAAGATATTCACAATTGCCGTACCCCCAATTTCATATGGTTGGGTCCTTCGCCAGGATAAGTTTCCAAGTTTGGCCCCCGGTCTACTCTTGAACAAAAGACCAGCCAGGGCACCGGATCCTGCAGGATTCTGCGAAGACCCCCTCTGGCTGACCTGGGTTAGCGAGCCGCTCGTGGCCGCGAGGCGGCCGCGCATATTGGCTGACCCGGGTTTGCGAAGACCTGCGTTGCAGCGTTTGCTCCTGCATTGCAGTTTTTAGTTTCCTGCTGGTCTGGATTGACCCGGGTCAGAAGATCCCCGAGCCCGACCCCAGTCGAGCGGGTGGCAAGGGGGGGGGGGAGAAGAAGGCCCCAAAGGGGCCCCGTGGGCTCCTTTTGGGCCCCTGCTCTCTCCAAAAAGGGCCCTGAAGGGCCCCTTCCTTCACTTCCAGTCAGGTCACCCCCCAATTGCCACCCGCCCGAGTGTCCCGACAGCCGCAGCAGATGCATACCACCCGCCCGAGCGTCCAACCGCAGCAGATACTGCGCGGTGCACGATGGCGCAAACAGCATTTTTTCCCACCCGCCCGAACCGAGGTCATCGGCTTCGACTTCGCTTTCGCCGCCCCCGGCCGCGAAGTGCAGAGGGTCCCTCAGGAACTCGGCGGGGCCACCCGCTCTTAGGTCTCTCGCGCGCCTCGGGCCGCCCACGGCGCGGTCGAGCGAGGGTTCAGTCGGGCATGTCCTTCTACAGTAGGAGTATCCTAAAGCGTCACAAAGTGGTCTGGGCACGATTTCCCTTTTATTCTTGGCCATTTTAGAGGACCCTTTGACTGTTACGTACTTGTCTTTCCAGTCGCCTCTAGGAGGACATGCCCGACCAGAAGCGAGGGCAGTCGTCCATCGATGGTTTTCCCATAATGCCGAACTATGGGAAACCCATAGGTCGCCAGATTTTCTACGGGGGTTCTGGCGATCCATGGATTTCCCATAATTCGCCTTTAGAGATTACATGAGAAACACATAAATGGACGACAGCCGAAGCGAGGGACTCAGATCTCCTCGGGTCGTGAAAAAGTCACGGTGGCGGTTCTGAAACCTGTTGTCGGCCGCTCGGGGCCCTCACGCGGGCTTGGGACCGTCACGAAACGCCTCGGGAGGAAGCGCTGGTCCCCGGGAAGGGGTCAAGACCTCTGCGGGTCAGTGTTGCGAAAGACAGCGTCGTGGTTTTCGGGAGGCGCGGGGAGGAGGAGGACGAGGGGGAGGAGGAGGAGAAGGAGGAGGAGGAGGGGTGGGGGAGGAGGAGGACGGGTGGAGGAGGTGGTGGCTTGACAGACATGAAGGAGGAGGAGGTGGCAGGGGCAGGATGATGTTGTTGATCGGGATGAGGAGGAGGAGGAGGAGGAGGAGGAGGAGGTGGGGGGGTGAGGAGGAGGAGGAGCAGACAAGGGGGAGGAGGAGGAGGTGGAGGAGGAAGAAGGAGGGAAGGTGGACAGATGAGGGAGGAGGAGGAGGAGGAGGAGGAGGAGGAGGAGGAGGAGGAGGAGGCGGAGGAGGAGGAGGAGGAGTAGGAGGAGGAGGAGGAGAGGGGGCTCCCGCCAGGCTGGGGCCCCGCGGCAAGCTGGGCCTCAGGCTCTCTCACAGGACTTGGGGCCATTTCGGAGGACATCGATCAGCGCTAGCCATTTGGAGCCCGACTCACCGCTTGTGGGGGCCCTCTCAGGTCGCTCTTGGGGCGACCTGAGCGGCTTCTGAGGACGTCTTGGATCATTTCTGGGCACGCCATTCTTGGGGCTCGCTTGGACGATGTTGGAACGATCTTGATGTCCGAGATCATTGCAGCACGTTTGGGACATTCGGAGGCCATTTGCAGCAGTCTTGAGGCCGTGTGGGACGTGAAGGCATGCTAGAGGTCACCTTGTGCCAACTTTGACAATCGTGCGCCATCTTCGAGGTCATCCTGGGGTGCCAGCTTTGAGCCATGTGCAGCCGAAAGGGTGCCTTGGTGAGCTCCGCCCCCACCCTCCCAACTAGTATTTTTGACTCCAGGGGGATGGGGGGGAAGAGAGGGAGACGGACCTGTAGTCATCTCGCACCCCTTCTCACCCTCGGCAAGCGGGAATCGATCAATTTACGTATGTCCATTCGGTTTTGGGGGATCCTTCTGATGCTCCTGATTGCTACTTGTTCTCGTTCTGCTGCTTTCATTCGCTTGCTCGTTGCAAATTACTGACATCATCAGTGGGCTCCTGAGAATGAACCTTGTGTTCCTGAGGATTCCTTTGATGCCCCCCCCTGTCTGTCCACTACATGCCTTATGATTACCATCGCTTACTTGAAAAATCATTAGCTGGGGATTCCTCCTGGGCACTGCCGCCAGCAGCTGGAGGCGATGTTCCGCTGATGCAGGGATCTATCATTCGTTTGCCAAATGACAGGTTTAGCTTATCCGCCCCACATTTTTTGGCCAGGGCCCTTGGGTCAGGATGCTGTTTCCCCCTACAGGAGTCGCAGGCCTTCCACAAGTCATGTCGGAGTGCCCATCCCAAGGCGGTGCATTGATCTGGCTGCCTGTCCTCTTTGGCCCCTCGTGGGCCAGGCTCCCGCCAGTGGGCGCTGCTTCCTCCCAGGCAGTAGCAGGGTGGTCCGACGTCGAAAACTTACGGTCGGGAATGTTTGCTTAGCGTGTCGATGCGGCGGCCCCAGCGACACGCCATGCCCTGCAAGGTGATAGCGCGTCGCTCCGCATCGCGGGACTGGAGTTCCTGGGAAAAGTTCGGGACGTTGGCTCTCGGGATCTGGGCGTGGTCAGCGTGTCGCGCCGAATCGTGGTGGGCCACCTCCGGCGGCGGGGCGAGTCGATGAGCAGGAGTTCCCGACCAGTTTTTGGCGCGCGCACTCAGATCGCGGCCGGCAGACTCGCAGGGCGCTCTCCCGCGCGCGCGAGCGGCGGCGTCGCCTCCAGAGGACTGGGTGCTCCACGCCGTCCCCGCCAAGGCCGACACGGGAGATGCATCCGCGCCGCCGCGCAGACCCGCACACGCTTTGGGGGCGGGTGGGCTCGGGTTTTGGTTCGAGGAGGGGCGAGGGGTCCTGACGGTGATGCGTTCCAAGATTCCCAGGACCCCCCAGAGGCCCTGATGTTCCATAGGGGCTGCAGAACCGAGCGCCGCCAGAGATGACAGCAGAAGCGCATCCTGAGCCAGTCGCACCACGACCAGTCAGCGCAAGTGACCCGGGGCCCTGGCTGAAGAGTCAGACAGGCCTCGGAAGAACTTGGTGAACACTCGTGCCACAGTCATGTGTCAATGGCCCCCCCCCCAACGGATCAATGTTGGTGGTGGGTTGGATGAGCTGCACTTCGACTGCAATCTTCCCCGCGCCTGCCAACTTTCGAATATAGAAAACAACGCCATAGACATAAACTGTTGTTGGCGCTCCTCGCGGATTTCTTAGATCCTCGCTGGGACCCCCGGCGGCGCCTCCGGCGCCGCACCTGGCGCGCTCCGCGCGCCAGGCAGAGGTGTCCAGCGCAGATCCAAGAAAATCCGCGCGGAGCGCCAAGAGTTTATGTTTGCAGCGGTTTTTCTTCTAAACTTTGACTTTGGGGGGGCGGGGCGGTGTCCACTGCTTTTTCCCCTCTACCGGGTCGAGGAGGGCGCGGCAGCAGCGACGAGGGGATGGCAACGGTACGGAGGGGGAGAGCCTTTACGCTGAGGCCCCACCCACGACTGGGTCGCCCCCGCCCCCCCTCACGCTCCTTGCTGGCAAGGAGGAGGCCCTCCCCACGACTGGGTCAGGCCTCGGAAAAAATTAGCGAACAATCATGCCACATTCATCTGTGAACGCCTCCCCCTTCCCCCAATGTTCAAAGTTGGCGGTGGGTCTGATGAGTTGCACCTCGACCGCAGTTTCCCCCCCGCGTGCCAATTTTGAGTTTGGGGGGCAGGGGGGGTGTTCACTAATTGTTTCCCTCTACCTGTCGACCTAGGCCTCCCAGATGGGGTCGGGATGGATGGGGCCGGAGGATCGCTCCGCATCGCGGATGCATCGGCGATGCTGTTCGAGGTGGAGCCCGATGTTCTCCGCGCCGGCGTCGCCGAGCCCATCTGCTCGGACCCCCATCCAGGAGGCCTCTCGTCTACGGAGCCTCCGGGCGCCCACTCCGGTGGTCGGGCCGCGGTGGCCGAAGCTGGGAGTGCCGAATGGCGCCCAGCTGTCGGGGCCACCCCAGCCGCGACTTCGTGGTGGGGTCCCGTGCCAAGCTTCAAAGCCGCCAGGAAGTGTCTTTTTTGCAAGCGCTGCGTGGGGTTCTTTCGGGGCCGGGAGCTCGCATGTCGGCTACACTGTCTCGTGTTTCTCCACGGGGCCGCCAAAAAATTGCAGTGGGCACACCAGGTGGGAAATGTTGCATTTCGGGGGGTCAGCAGTAGGAGGAGGAGGATGAGGAGGAGGAGCATGAGCAGGAGCAGGAGCAGGAGCAGGAGCAGGATGAGGTGGAGCAGGAGGTGGAGGAGGATGAGGGAGGAGGTGGGGAGGAGGAGCACGAGGAGGAGGAGGAGGAGGATGATCAGGAGGAGGAGCAGAAGGCCCACGAAGCCCTGGGGCAGCTTACGAGGCTCAGGGACAACGCAGGACGTGCCCCCAGATTTCACATGGCGAGGCTTCTTTGCGTATGTGCCTGCTGCTGTGAAGACCCCTTTGCCTGCAGGCCGGGCTTTGTCCAGGGAGCGATACCAAGGGCTCCGACACGCACGGTCAACCTGCGGCGCAGCGCGGGGGCGGGTCTCTTCTGGGACGTCTTCAACACGCACCGCTTCCGCTCAGCGAAGCGCACCAACTGGAACCGCGCGAGGTCCAAAGTCGGGGAGACCTGGAGCTGAAACTCGGGGAGGGATGGCTAGCGGTTTCCAGATACTGCCTCGAGGCCACCCTTGGTGTGGCTGCAGGGGAATTCCTGCAGGTGCTCAACTTTCTCGGAAACGTTCGAACGGTTTTTCGACACCCCCCGGATCGTCTCGATCAGCTGCGCTTCGTCGAGAGCGTGCCGGAGGTGCCCGGGTACTCCCGAACGGCCGCCAGCAAGCAGAGTTCTGACTCGAAAACCACCACCACCATCTCCTCCTCCTCCTCCTCCTCCTCCAGCTCCCCCTCCTCCTCCTCCTCGGGTCCCGTCCGAGCTGCTCGTGTAAGGTCTGCGGTGTCCGTCGACTCCGACTGACTTCGGTCCCTGGGGTGCCCGCCGCGTGTCGGAGTCGCGGCCATTTTCGACAGTGGACACGGGGGGGGTCGGACGGGCCGCGGGTTGTGGGGGGGGGTTGGATTTTGGTGGTTTTTTTTTGTTTTTTTTTTTTTTTTTTTTTCTTTTTTTTTTTTATTTTTTTTTTTTTTTTTTTTGTGTTTTTTTTTTTTTTTTTTTTTATTCTCTTTTTTTTTTTTTTTTTTTTTTTTTTTTTTTTTTTTTTTTTTTATTTTTTTTTTCTCTCTTTTCCGCCAGCATTCTGATTCCGCCCGGCTGATTCAACCTGTCGGCCCTTCCCTCCCTCGCTTTTTTGATGTAGGGATGTAACAATCCTCCTCCTCCTCTCCTCCTCCTCCTCTTCCTCCTCCTCCCTCCTCCCTCCTCCTCCTTAGGGGGCCCCCCCCCCCCCCCCCCCCCCCCCCCCCCCCCCCCCGGCCCCCCGGGGGGGGGGCTAGGGGCCATGGGCATAGGGGCACTTTAGGGCTCGGCGTTGGGGGGGTGCATTACGGGCCCGTTGGCCCGCCCGCGGCCCCGCGCGACGTCGGGGGGGACCTGCCGCCCCCCGATCTGGCGGCGGCGCCATCGCCGACTCCAGGTCGTATGTTGACTCCCCCCCCCCCCCCCCTGAGCACCGTTACCCCCCCTTTCGCGCCCCTTCAGTCTTGTCCTCCTCCTCCTCCTCCTCCTTCCTCCTCCTCCGCTCCTCCTCCACATTTCCTTCGTTGATGAGTCGGAGGGTTGGGTAAACTGGTCAACCGCCGTCTCCTACATCCTCCTCATCTACCTGCTCCTCTCCTCCTCTCCCCATCTCCTGCCTCTCCTACTCCCTCCTCCTCTCCTACTCTCCCCGGTCCCACCTCCTCCTCCTCATCCTCTTCCGCCTCGTCCTCCTCTCCCCCCCCCCCCTCCTCATTCCTCCTTCTCCTCCTCCCCTCTTCCTCCCTCCTCCTCCTCCTTGCTCCTCCTCCTCCTCCTCCTTCTTCCTCCTCCTCCTCTGTCCTCCTCCTTCTCCTCCTCCTCCTCCTCCTCCTCCCCCCCTTGCCGCTGCCCCCCTCAAGACTGGGAGCCGAAGTGCAGCGCGCGACCGCCTGGCCAGACTCGTTGGGTCAGGCCTGCCTTCCTCTGGCTTGGGCACCGGGGTCACCCGCCAGACCGCGCGAGCTTGCGGCGCCTGCGCTCCGCTGCTTGAGCGAGAGAGCTGCGGTTCTTGGGCTCGGGGGGTCGGTCTTGGCATCGCTCGGACGTGTGCATTTTTCCTTCGGCGAGGACAATCGAGGAGCATCCTTGATCATCTGGCGAAAAAACCACGCACGAAACCGAAAAAAACACAGGGAATGGACGTCCGAGCGATGGCGAGCGGTGTGGGAGCGCGAATCTGAGTGACCACACTTCATCCTTCAGGTCCGTATGGATCGAAACCGGCCCGATGTTCGGTGGGCGGAAGGCAGCTGGGCGTTGCAGAACGCTCTCGGAGCGTTCCGGAACGCTCTGAGAAGATCGCGGCGCCCGAGACATCTTCCAGAGCCGCCAGATCGCAGAGACTCTCGACGCATCCTCACCCGAGCCTTGTCCCCGCCCTGGCGGCGCGTCTACAGGACGCGTGTGTGGCACAGGCAGGGGCCTGAGGGCTCCGCGCCTCCGCCGCCGCGCTTTTCTGCTGCACTGCGTGGTGCCCCTGGCTCGCTCTCGACCTCACCCCAACGAAGGATTGCTAAAAAAACCAAAGGATTGCAAACAAACCAGGATTGCAAAAAAATCCTTCGGAGGATTGCAAAAAAACCTTCGGAGGTTTTTTGGCAATCCTTCGTTTTGCAATCCTTCGGGCCGTCTCTTCGTCGGGGCTCGGCTCCGAGCCGTCCCGGCGCGCGGCCCTCGAGGGGCAGGCGACGCGCAGCCAGCGCGCGCGGCGCTGCCCGAGTGCTCTCCCCCGTTGGGGGGCATACACCTTCCTTGCATGCCTCGTGTTCTTCGCGTGGCCCCTGAAAAGGGATGAGGTGGAGGAGGAGGAGGAGGAGGAAAGATGAGGAGGAGGAGGAGGAAAGAGGAGGAGGAGGAGGAGGAGGAGGAGGAGGACAGAGGAGGAGGAGGAGAGAGGAGGAGGAGGAGGAGGAGGAGGAGGAGGAGGAGGAGGAGGAGGAGGAGGAGGGAACAGGGGAGGGAGGGAGCGAGGAAGTGAGGCGGAAACCATAGGCGAGGGAGCGAGAGAAAGGGAGGAGGACTGAGGGCGAAGGAGATGCAGTAGGAGGGCGAATGGAGAGGAAGCACCGTTACGGCAGGCAGATCCTGACAGGCGGCCCTGCCCAACGGGCGGGTCGGGCGGGCGGACCCTAACGGGCGGGTCGGGCGCGTGGAGCATTAAAGCGGATGGGCGGCCTCCAGGCACGCGAACGGATGGACACGGGCGGGTCGGACGGGCGGACCCTAACGGCTCGGGCGGGCAGACCCTGATGGGTGGGTCGGGTGGGCGGACCTTGATGGGCGGGTCGGGCGTGCGGGTAGGGTCGGGCGGACCAGTGAGCGAACCTCGTAAATTGCGAACGCGCCTCAGGCGAGAGCACGAGTCCCGAGTACGTTGCGAGGAAGGCGCGCGCGGGAGCGCGGTTCCTGGATGTCGAGAGATCCGCGCCTTGGTCCATTGAGAGGAAGTTCTCGGCGAGAGCCCGATTCCTGCGTACGTTGTGCGTACATACTTTGCGAGGGGGTATCAGGCGGGAGCCGTTGCTGTAGTACGGGGGGCGGGGGCGCAGTGTGAGGCTCAAGATCTCCCTGATAAGCCAGGGTGCGAGCCCGGGGGGGGCACTGCGATAGAAACATGCAATGGGCACTGGACGGGGCGGATCAACAAGAATAATGTTTCAGAAGTGAGGTTCCAATTGCATCGACAATCATCACTGCGGACGCCCACCTCAGGCACATACCCTGGGATGGTGTAAGACCGTTCGACACCCTCACTCTGATAATGAGGAGCTGGAGAAGGGGGGGGACAGGCAGGAGGAGGAAGAGGAGGAGGAGGAGGAGGAGGAGGAGGAGGAGGAGGAGGAGGAGGAGGGAAGACGGCTACAGCGTGCTCCTGAAGTTTTGCTAACGTCAAAGGAAAAGGAGGGAGGGAGATGGGAGGAGCAATAAAGGGGATAGGGGGGGAATTAGGATTGTGTGAAGGTGATGGAGGAAGGAGGTAGAAGGAGGTGTCCAGGGAGGAGGAAGAGGCAATAGGATGCAAGAGAAAGGAGGAGGAGATGGAGGAGGAGGAGGCGGTGGAGGAGGAGCTGGAGGCGAAGGAGGAGGAGGGGGAGAATAAGGAGGGAGGGGGGCCGAGGAGGAAGGAGGAGGAAGCAGGAGGGAGGAGGAGGGAGGGGGATGGGGGGCCCTCCCGAGGAGATGCAGCGGGTCATCGACCGTCAGAGCGTCGTGATCTGGGGCAGGCGGCCCGACGTTCCGGAGCCTGGCAGCAGGCGGCGTCTGGTAATGAAGGGGAGAGGAGGCAACGAGGAGGCGCAAGGAGGAGGAGGAGGCAAGGAGGACGAGAGGACGAGGGCGTGGAGGAGGAGGAGGAGGAGGAGGAGGAGGAGGAGGAGGAGGAGGAGGTGACGAGGATGGGGAATGTGCGGACATGAACGTGGAGGAGGAGGACGAGGAGGACGAGGACGAGGACAAGGAGGACGAGAACGAGGAGGACCGGCGAGACCAATGATGATGACACGTACGCGGAGGAGGACGAGGAGGAGCAGGACGAGGAGCGAGGGGGAGCGGGAGAAGTGAGGTGTAGGAAGAGGATCAGGGTGGCGTCGGACGAGGAAGATGCGGAGAAGGCGAGGACGAATGGGGGAGAGGAAGAAGGAAAGGTAGATTTTGTGAGGCTGAGGGCAGGAGGAGGGCGACGACGATGACGATGATAACAATGATGAGGGTAAGAGCGGAGGATGAGTGAGGCGGCGACATGGGAAAAGGAAGCGTCGGAGGACGAGGTGGAGAACGAGGTGGAGGACGGTCCAGGGGATACCGTACCGTGCACTTCCTTTTCCACTCTCTGGCCTCTGCCTCTTCCACCGTGGGCATCGTCACCGTCACCGCGCCGCACCGTCGTCTCCCGACGACGGGAGGAACCTCTGCCATCCAGCAGCGAAGCTATACCAGCTACGCGTCGTGAACGCAGGTTTCACGTGTCGGATTAGTTTCGTTTGCCAAGGCTCGGACCCCTACGCGACACCCATGGAGAGGGGGGAAGAATAATGATGATGCTGTGATGATGGGATGAATATGAAGATGGTTATGATGATGACGATATTGATGATGCTGATGATGATGACGATGATGATGATGCTGATGAAAATCATCATTATGATGATGATGATGATGATGATGATGATGATGATGATGATGATGATGATGATGATGGTGATGGTGATGGTGATGGTGATGGTGATGGTGATGGTGATGGTGATGATGATGATACTGAAGATGGTGATGACGATGATGTCGATTATGATGAGTATGTGTATGATGATGCTGATGCTGATGCTGATGCTGATGATGATGATAGTGATGGTGGTGATGACGATGATGATCAGAAGGAGGACGACAACAATGATGATACTGATGATGCTGACGATGATGCTGATGCTGATGAGGCTGATGACGATGTTGACGATAGAGTAGGTGTGTGACGCGGACTTGCCGTGACAACGGCCCACCGCCCAATGAACGGACAACGCGAAGCGGCCGAAGTCGAGAAGTGACGAGGATGAGGACGAGGAGGAGGAGGAATGACAAGTCGGAGAGAGGGTTATGAGATGGGGGAGGAGGGAGGGAGGGGAAGCAGAGGAGGGGCAGGAGGAGGAGGAAGATGCGGGGGAGAAAGGAGGGAGGAGGAGTGCACCATAGGGGCAACTCCGCTGGCGGGGGTGTCGGAGCCGGAGGGAGCTCTCCGGACGGGGTCGGGGATCGTCGGGCACGCGGGGCATCCCACGCTGTGGGAGCCCCGCGCACCCCGGGGGATGGCCGTCAGAGTGCGGGTGGGGCCGCGTGGTGCGTAGGTGCCTCGCTCCGGCCGGGGGCCTTGCCCCCCGTGGGCTCTCCGTGCTTGGTGGTCGTGCCTGGCGTGCCTCGTCGTCGCCATCGCCGTCGCCGTCGCTGTCGTCGTCGTCGTCGTCGTCGTCGTCGTCGTCGCCGTCGTCGTCGTCGTCGTCGTCGTCGTCGTCGCCGTCGTCGTCGTCGTCGTCGCCGTCGTCGTCGTCGTCCTCGTCCTCGTCCTCCTCGTCGTCCTTCCTCGGACACGCAGGTCTCCCGTGGGCCTCCCTCGGCCTCCTCGGCGGGGGCCTCCCCCATTCGGGAGTCCTTTTTTTGACGGCCTCTGAGGCCCAGTAAGGGCCCTCAGAGGCCGAAGACAGTGACAAACCTCCCGTCGTGTTTTTTCTTTCATTGCTCGAGGGGATCTGGGACAGAGAGAATGGAGAGGAAGAGAGAGAGAGAGAGAGAGAGAGAGCGGGAGGAGGCGAGGGACGAGAGTTGGGCGACTGGGAAACACGGGGGGAGGCGCGGAGCAGCAGCAGCAGCACCAGGGCGAGCAGGAGGCGCGGCGGTGGCTCCCTCCGCGCCGCCCCCCCCCCCCTTGGCTTAAGGTGGGCGTGTCCCTCTACAGGAGGAAAATAAAAAAATAGTTCGAACATAGTCTGGGGACGATGTTTTGACTATCTTTGCCCATTTAGGAGGGCATTTTTCTAATATTTTTTATTTTTCGCCCACAATCCCCCAGTACGGGGGACGCGCCCGACTTGACCCTTGGCATCTCTCGGGCGTGTGCCTTTTTTTTTTCTCGGCGAGGGCCCTCGAGGAGCATGACCTGCGCCGCCCCGCGAAGAGCACGCGCGCGGAGCCGCACCGCTGCACGGGGGACGTGCACGCCCGAGCGACGGCGCGCGCCCCCCCCCCCCGCGCGAGGGTCGCGGCCGCGTGCACCCTGGGCCGACACCCGGCGAACGAGGCCGACGCGAGCGCCCAGGGCGAGCTCGGGCACGCCGAGGCCTCGGCCGCGTGGTGGCCGGCGCTGGCGCCGCCCTCGGCCGGCTCTCTCTCTGCGGAGCGGCCGCGCGCGCCGCGGGGCGGCCGCGGATCCTGGGCCCCTCCCTCCCTTTTTTCTCCTTCCCCCCCCCCCAGCCAAAAAAAAAAAAGATCCCGCCCCTTCCCGCTCTCCCCCCCCCCCCCCCCCTTCTCCCTCCCCAGGTTTCCGCCCGCCGCCTCCCCGCTCGCCTCGCTCTGCTCCCTCCTCCCGGACCCCCCCGCCTCCCTCCCGGCCGGCTTCTCCCCGCTTCCCCGCCTCCGACAGGGGGGATCGAAACTCTTAAGAGTCGTCTGAATAGGCAAAACATAGTATGGGGGCGATGTTTTGCTATTTGTGGATTCTGTTTGAATATTTGTTGACACTGTTTAATTTGTCTTCCAAAACCCGCCTGTAGGAGGACATGCCCGACCTAACTGGAGCGCAAACGTTCGGAGCTCCGCGCGGATTTCTTGGATCGGCGCTGTGGCCTTCTCTGACGGCGCCTCCGGTGCCGTCCCCCGCGCGTTCCGCGCGCCAGGGAATGGGGTCCAGCGCCGATCTAAGGAATGGAGTTCTTGCCTCCTCTAGCCGCATCACTCTCCGAGTAGACCTTGTCCCTCGACTCCCACAGCGACGCTGCCGTGCACACCTACGGCACCGACGGTCGAACGGACCGCGCCGACATTGGTTACGGCACTGCCGGCTGTCTCGTCTTTGGCGACGCCTTCGACGATCGATGCCTTTCCACACCACCTCGTGTGCGCGGTCTTTGGTCATGCGGCTCGAATCCAGCCCCAGTCGATGCGATGCACGGCCTCTGATGACGCGACGGCCAGAGATGTTCGTCCTTTGTCGGACCCGGAAAGTCCCGCCTGCGTTCATGAACCTGCGATTTGGCGGCGGGAAGCAGGTGGTCTGGTCATAATCAGGATGATCCTCTGATGTTTGGCCCGCTGCCCGGTGATGAGCAGTCCCAGAGCATGCGCTGACGATGACGCTACCGTACATGGACATTATATTCGAACCCTGTGGCCCAAGATGCCCCCCCGAACCCCTGAATTTAATATTGATGGCGTGGCGACGGGGGGGGCGTGAGTGGACAGAAATATTCGAACCCCAAAGCACCGCCTTTGCTGAGATCAACATTGATGTCGGGGGCGCGGGGGTGATTCAGAATCTCCCTCGAATGTGTGAGGGTTCGAATATATTGTCCATCTACTGTCCATGGCAAGGTTTGTGTATTTCTGCACATTGCTCAAAGCGACCCTCATAAATCCAAGATCCCATGACTTGGGGGAGAAGGTGGAGGAGGAAGCGAAGGATGAGGAGGATAAGGATCAGGATGAGGAGGAAGAGGAGGATGGGGATGAGGATGAGGATGCGGAGGGCCAGGAACAGTAGTGAGAGACAGGAGGACTGAGAAGGATGAGGATGGGAGGTGGTGGGGAGGAGGATCAAGCGGTGGAGCGTGGAGGATTTCTAAGCAGGTGCGGGAGGAGTGAATCAGAGGAGGCAGGGACGAAGAGGCGATGGGAGGGGAAGAGAGGGCATGGGGAGGAGGGGAGGGGAGGGGAGGGGAAGGGAACGGGGAGGGGAGGGGATCGGAGGGGGCCGAAAGAGGGATGGAAGGAGACGGTCCTGTGAAGGGCTGCCTTGGGCCGTCCTGGAGGCCTCGGAGGCCCCATGGATTACCGGAGCTGCGGGAAGTTCGGTTTTGCCTGCCCAGGGTTACATGTTGCTGTCGTCCCACCGTCCACAACAGACATCGGGTGCATTATCGAAAGCTGGAGACGGTCCTGTGGAGGGCTGCCTTGAGCCATCCTGAGGCCTCCGAGGCCCCATCGTTCCCCAGGCTGCGAACGGGTCGGTTTATTCCTACCCAGGGTGATATAGTCAGAGCGTACTTGCGATTTTTCTCTGCACATGCTGTTCTTTCGTTCGCCGTCCTTGGGTCCTGGGTTACCACGCTCCCTTCATCGTCGCCATGGCAGATGGAAAGGCGCTTGCTCGTGATATTGATGGGGGCGTTGTCTGGTAGGCTTTCAGGAAAGCAGCTGGCGAGGCAGCCAACAAGGCAGCCAACGAAGCAGCCTACGAGGCACCCTGCGAGGCGGCCAACGAGGCCTCCGACGAGGCAGCCCGCGGGGCAGCCAAAAAAACAGCCGTCGAGGCAACTGGCGAAGCAGCCAGCGAGGCGGCCAACGAGGTAGCCCACGAGGCACGAGGCAGCCAACGAGGTAGCCCACGAGGCAGCCAGCCAGGCAGCGAGGCGGGCGACAGGGCAGCCAGCAAGGCAACCAACGAGGCCACCGACACAGCACCCGGCAAGGCAACCAACGAGGCAGCCAACGAGACAACCAACGAGGCAGCCAACGAGACATCCAACAAAGCAGCCAACGAGGCAGCCATCGAGGCAGCCAGCAAGGCAGCCAACAGGCAGCCGAGCAGGCAGGCCACCAGGAACCAGGCAGCCAACGATACCGCCACAGGGCAGCCGACGAAGCAGCAGCGAGGGGGGATCCCCAAATGGATCCCCCTTGCGCACCTGCGCGCGCATGTCGCGCAGATCTAGACCATTTTCACGGACAGAAGCCACCCGAACCTATGGCGCTACTAATGGAAAAAAGGGCATCCGAGATATAGGATGCCCTCGCTCGCTGGACTGCATCCATTTTCAGGATGCCCCCGTTGGAAGGATGACCGCGGCGTTTTCTGGACCGAGCGCATTTGGCCCGTCGTTGTCTCCACAGCCGGAGAATGTCGCCGAAATCCTTCACTCATGTATCTGCCGACGAGAACGTCGCAATGCGCCGCTTGCATGACAGCGGCATGGGCGTCAAGAGGATCGCCGCGGCCTTGAGCCGCTCCACGGACACCGTCTCGAAGCATTTGTTCAAAAAGAACACGACCAAGAAGTCCAAGGGCCGCCCGAAGCATTCCATCCGCACCCCCAAAGGGTTTCTCGCTGCCCAGCGCGCTTACAAGAAGCTTCTGAAGTCCTCGGGCGGCACAAAGGAAGTGACGGCAGCCATGCTGAAGTCCGAGATGAAGTTGAAATGCCACATCAAGACAGTGCGCCGCGCGTTTGCTGAGAATGGCTACCAGTTCCGCCCGCTGCACGAGAAGCCTGACCTTTCTGATGTGGACAAGAAGGAGCGCCTGCAGTGGGCCCGCGAGCACAAGCGCCGCAGCCCCAGCCAGTGGTCACAGTACGTCCACGCGTGCATCGACAACAAGGTGTTCCAGGTGCTGCCCAATGCGAAGTACAGGAAGGTGGCGGCAAAGCGCAAGGTTCGCGGGGTGTACAGGAAGCGCAAGCGGGACTTCTCCGTGGGCCACGTCAAGCCGAGCAACCCTAAGGTTCTCGGGCTGGCGCAAATCGGAGACCGCGCCGCGGCCACTCAGCGCCAGGCAGTGGCCGACGGCGCGCTCTGATTTGGCTCGCCCCCAGGTTCTGAAGCAGAGTTCGGGCAGGGGCTCCGTGACCATCGCGTGCGCCATCGGCGCGGGCAAGGTGTTGATGTGGCACCAGGTGGTCGGCAGGTGGAACGCCGCAGCCGCGGGGCGAATGTACTCGGGGGCGCTCAGCCCGCTTTGAAGAGGGCCTACCCTTCCGTGCGCGGCAAGTTCCGCGTCATGGAAGACAACGACCCCACGGGCTACAAATCTCGCTCGGGCATGGCGGCGAAGAAGTCCGCTGGCATCCAGACGTTGGACTTGCCGAAGCGGTCCCCTGATCTGATGCCGCTTGATTTCGCCTTCTGGGCCAATCTGAACAAGCGCATGAGGGGGCAGGAGAAGGACTGGCCCGCGAGCAAGACGGAGACGCGGGCGCAGTACCTGGCCCGGCTGCGCCGCACGGCGTTGGCGACGCCTTCTGAGTACATCCACAGCATCATGGGCAGCCTGCACAAGCGCTGCGGCGTGTTGGTCGAGGCGAAGGGCGGCCACTTCGCCGAGGGCGGTGGGAACTGAGCGCGCGCGCGGTTTCGTCGGGCGGCCGCGGCGCGATTCGCGGCGGGCCAGGGCGGCGGGCGACCGCGGCGCAGACCGCAGCGGGCCGGGGCGGCGGGCGGCCCGTAGCGGCCCGCGCCTCGGTTGACCCGCGCGAGCGACGTGGGGCGCGGGAAGGGAGCCTGTCGCGGTCCACGATCAAGACCAATCCGTGCGTCCACCGCCCTTGCGGCTACAGGGCAGCAGACGTAGTCGAAAGTACCTGATCTTGGCATTATGATCCTGTCCGCCGAGGCCCCCCAGGCGCCAGCGCCCTGGCGGCCCCAGGGAGCCCCTCGCACGAGACATGCAGCAAAAAACATAGTGAACCAACAGTGAACCAACAGTGAACCAACAGTGAACCAACAGTGAACCTTCGTAAAAACCATAGTGAACCTCGAATTCTATTAAAAAAGAATAAGGAACTTCTTTTTTAAATAAAAATTGAGGTTCACTATGTAAATAGCAATGGTTCACTGTTGGTTCACTGTTGGTTCACTGATGGTTCACTGTAGGTTCAGTATGGTTTTTTATGCATGTTTGCACATGTCCAACAATGCCGCGCGAGCGGCATCCATGGACAGGATCCGCCGACCCCGCCCAGAGGTGCAGGGGGCGCGCCTGGCGCGCCAAGTGCGCCGCGTGCGACAGGTGCGCGGCACGCGACAGGTGGGCCACACGCGCCAGGTGAACGGGGAGCGCCCAAGTGCGACAGGTGCGCAGACGACGCCAGGTGCAACGAGCTCCCCAACTGAGCAGCCAGGCGGCGGTTTACGATGCCCCCGAAGACCCCGACGGTCCGCATAGCGTTTTTCTCTGTAGCCTGTCGGCTCAGCGGGGCGGGGGCTGGCCCTGGCCGGGTCGCGCCGGGGGTGGATGGAGCTCAGTCATGCATAGAGGCCAGTGAGAAAGCGCGCACTCTGCAGGAGTTGTGGAGGATTAGCAGAGCCAGCAGGACGGACGCGCTCCTCGAGCGACGTCATTGGGCGTGGAAGTTAACAGGATACGCCATCGCTGGGTGGTTGTGAGGTCTTACTTGGTGTCTCTGTGCCGCACACGGACATGGAGGGTCTCAGAGCGTCCAGGGCATTTCTCGCGGGAGGAGTGTGCCGCGACCAGTTCCTGGACCTGCATGCGGCGCCTCCGGGACCTTGGCTCCGGACGCCGACCCCGCGTGGTTCGCCAGCCACCGCGGGCAGGGGGCCGCGCCCGTCGGGGTCAAAAAGCTGGTGGCATTCAAAAAGCACCACGCGCCAGTGGCAGGCGTCCGGCGGGCGCACTACCACGTGGCCTTGCACCTGGGCAAGAAGAGCAAGTTCTTGACCGCGAAGACGGCCTTGCTCAACAGGTACCAACTCGCCTCTCACTGGTCCTGCAGCCACGACGGGCACTGGTCGGCCGTCGGGCACTGCGCGAACGCGACGCCCAAGAAGCCGCGGAGCGCCCTGGACGTTGACTACTTGGCTTGGCCCGCGGACCACCCGCCGCTGTCCGCGGCGAAGAGGGAGCCGACGACCGCCTGCGCTTTGGAGAAGCGCAGGACCGCGCGGGAGCAGGTCGAGGGCGAGAAGGGGAAGCCAGAGCCTCGCGTCGAGGAAGTGGACCTGTGGCCGATAGTGGTCAGGTCTGGGATCCGGAATACTCCGGACGACCCCCACGCAGTGCGCAAGTTGATGGCGTACGCTAAGACGTCCTGCTCGCACAAGGTGGTTGCCTGGATGTTCAAGAACGAGCACGTGCTGGAGAAGATCATCGACATGGCCTGGGCGTGGGAGAACGTGGACAGCTTCCTCGAAGACGCGACGAAACCCGTCATGCAACAGTTCAAGGAGGCCTTGCGGACGCCTTGCGTTTGCGGCGGCCGCTGGTTGCACCGCGTCCGCGAAAGCCTGTCGATGAATCGCATCGACGTCCCCGACCTGTGCAGCAGCATCTTGTTGTCCCTGAAGCACGGTCGGTCCGAGGCGGCCCCGGTGGTCACCTTGGCTGGGCGCTTCGGCGGAGAGGGGAAGTCTCTTCTCTTCTCGGCGGTTCGGCCGCTGTTCGGCGGTGAGCACGTGCAGGAGAGGCCAGGCGGGGGGCAGTTTAGCCTCCACGGCTTGGACAAGGCCAAGGCCGCGGTGCTGGACGAGTGGATGTTCATCGATGAGGACCTCCCCCTGTCCATCCAGCTCCTGTGGCTGGAGGGCAAGCCCGTGCCCATCACCATGCCCCAGAACCAGCACGTCGGGCACAAGGTGTACATGGGGTCCGCCCCGATTTTTGTCACCTGCCCCGTGACGGCGCTGGCGGGCCTCTCGTCCGAGTCGTCGCAGCGCCCGCAGGGGCAGGCTTGCATGCTGCTCCGGCGGCTGAAACTGTATTTATTCACTGTGCCGATTCCCAAGCCGCCGGCCCCGAAGCTAGTGCCGTGCCCGCGCTGTTTCTCGACCCTCGTCACAAGCGAGGCTCTTAAGTTCAAGCCCAAGTAGTCCTGCCGCGTGCGATTGGGGTCGCTGCGCGCAGACATCATCACCATCATCGCCATCATCACTGTCGCAATTATCGTCGTTGCCACACCTCGTTGCCCCATCGGGAACTCCACGGAAGGCCCCGATGGCTGACTCCGCATGCCGCGCCCCGACAATTTCGGCAGACCCCTAGAGCGTTGCACGACCGCCACGGGCACGTCGTGCTTCTGGCCCGGCACGACTCCGACCATCACCGTCGACGATGCCAGTGCTGTCGCCTCTGGGCCCGTCCGTCAGTCCGCGTGGAGCCTCTTTGGGGGTCGTCTTGGAGCCCCCGTGGATATTCGTAAGGCCCCCTCTGGAGGCCCTCTCGGGCGAGGTCTACGACAGAGGCCCCCCGCTGCATTCCATTAAATTCCATTCATTCCCAATTCCTCCGCAGGCCCCCCACTCCTTCCCAGTCCTCGCCACTCCCCTGCAGTCGTCCGCACCCCACCGCACTCCGCCAACAATAATTCCGAAACCTTTCATTCCTCCACGCCCCTCCGCACTATTCCCAACTGCTCCACGCCCTTCCGCACTCCACCCGAAACCTCCGCAACCGCCCCACTCCCCCCCACCCCTCCGCACTCCTCCCGAACCTTCCGCAACCGTCCCATTCCCCCAGACCCCTCCGCAGTCTTCCCAGAACCTCCGCAATCCTGCCATTCTTCTCACCCCTCCGCACTCTTCCCGAACATCCGCAACTCTCCCATTCCTCCACACCCCGCCGCATTCTTCCCAAAACCTCCGCAAGTCTCCCATTCCCCCACATTCCTCCGCACTCCTCCCGAAACCTCCGGAGCCCTTCGAATTCGTTCCGCCCCCCCGCACTCCTCCCGGACATCCGCGATCCTTCCCATTCCCCCCCACCCTGCGCACTCCTCCCAAACCTTCCGCAACCGTCCCAGTCCTCCACACCCCTCCGAACTCTTCCCGAAACCTCCGCAATCCTGCCAGTCTCTCCATCCCTCCGCACTTTTCCCGAACATCCGCAACTCTACCATCTCTCCACATCCCTCCGCACTCCTCCCAAAACCTCCGCAACCCTCCCATTCCCCCACACCCCTCCGCACTCCTCCCGAAACCTCCGCAACCCTTTTATCATTCCACATCCCTCCGCACTCCTCCCAGACATCCGCACCTCCCGCATTCCTCCAGGCCCCTCCGCACTCCTCCCGACACCTCCACAACCGTCCC